ACTCTTTGGCTGTGTGATCTTGGGCAAGTTACTTAATGCCTCTGTGCCTCAGTTTCCTCATCTGGAGTACCTACTTCTACCTCATAGGTTGTTGTAAGGATGAAGGAGTTAATATGTACACGTAAAGTGTTCAGATGAGTGTCTGACATGGAATCAAAGGTCAGTACTCATTGACCTCATCACAGTTCTTTCTCCTTCATCCCCCCCACCCCCAGCACTCAGCATGGTTCCAGGCACAAAGTGTTCACTCAATCCTGCCCTGCTAAGTCTTAACCTTCCAGAATGAGAATAATAGGTCTCTACCTCTTCACTAGGGAGCCCTTGGGAATCAGTGCTCCAGACCCTTGGGAGACTCTACCCTTTGGACTTAGCTTAGAACATTTTCCTTTGGCTTCTTTGCCCCCAGGGAAATTATCCCATTGTCCCTCCCAGACCTGCCCACCTGGATGCCCAGGCTTGGGAGAATGTGGACATGAAGAACTCTTGGCTGGTTCTTCTCTAGGGATGAGCTGCAGGGGAGGTAGCTGCTTAACTCAAAAAACTCGCTGCCGTTGAGTCGGATCCGACCCATAGCAACCCCTCTTTGGGTTTCCGAGGCAGTGTCACTATTGAAGTAGATTGCCCAATCTTCCTTCTGAGGAGTGGCTGGTGGTTTTGAACTACCAGCCTTCTGGTTAGCAGTCAAATGCCTTAGGCACTATGCCACCAGAGAATAGGGAACCACCTCCCTACCAGCTGGGGGTGGACGGGTTGCCCAGGTTAAGGCCTCGGGGCCTCCAACCATCAGGCCACAATCCTCTCGCGCTTTGCTCTCCTCTCCAGGTACCCTCCTGCCCGAAGTGGGTACCCACCTTGTTCTGCCTTCCAGAGCAGCACCTCTCCATCTCCTTCTAAAACTTCCATTGCCTTATGTAGTTTCATTCTTTCATAGCAATTATCCCTATGTGAAACTTTAGTTTTTGTTCATTAGAGTTTTATTTTTTAGTCTACCTTCCACTAGAATTTAAGCTACTTGAGGGCAAGATTTTGTCTACTTCATTCTTTATGATTAGCCTTATAGGGCAGATAATATCCTCATAAATAGATGAACAAACAGATCTCCCAGCTAGTCAGTGTCAGAATAAAGATTCAAGGCCAGGTCTGTCTGATAGTCAAAAGCTCACACTCTAACACAGAACCGCCATATGAACCAGCAATCCCAGTCCTCAGTAAATGCTCAGAAGTGAAGGCAGGAACACAAATAGAAACCTGTACACAATGTACATCACAGCACTTTCATAGTAGCCCCAAAATGGAAACAACAGAAATGTCCATCAACAGATGAATGAATAAACAAAATGTGGTATACACACACAATGGAATATTACTCAACCATAAAGAGAAATGAAATCCTGATCTATACCACTATATGTATGAAACTTGAACACATTATGCTGAGCAAAATTAGTCATTTGTGAAAGGATAAATGCCGTATGATTTCAATTATATGAAAATGCAAACACTGTCAAGGATTTCATTTTACTTGGATCCACAGTCAATACCAATGGAAGCAGCAGTGAAGAAATCAAATGATGTATTGCAATGTGCAAATCTGCTGTAAAAGACCTCTTAAAAATGTTAAAAAGCAAAGATGTCACTTTGAGGACTACAGTGCCTGACTCAAACCATGATATATTTAATAGTCTCAAATGCATGAGAAAGCTGGACAATAAATAAGGAACACTTCAGAAGAATTGATGCCATTGAATTATGATGTTGGTGAAGAACGTTGAGTATACTATAGACTGCCAGAAAAGTGAACAAATCTATCTCGGAAGATGTACAGCTTAGAAACAGGAATGGCGAGCCTTCTTCTCGTGCACTTTGGACATGTTACCAGGAGGGACCAGTCCCTGGAGAAGGAATCATGCTTGGTAAAGTAGAGGGTCAGTGAAAAAGAGGAAGACCCTCAATGAGATGAGTTGACACGGTGGCTGCAACAATGTACTCAAACACAGTATGATTATGAAGACGGTGCAGGACCAGCCAGTGTTTTATTCTGTTGTACATGGGGTTGCTAAGAGTTGGAACTGACTCAATGCCGCTTAACAACAACAATATGCAAATATGTGTTGTTGTTGTTGTTGTTTTTATGTGCTGTCGAGTCGATCCAACTCACAGAGACCCCTCCTTGGGTTTCTGAGGCGGTATCACTATGGAAGTAGATTGACCAACCTTCCTTCCGAGGAGTGGCTGATGGGTTTGAACCACCAGCCTTCTGATTAGCAGTCAAGTGCGTTAGGCACTATGCTACCAGAGCTCCTTGCAAATATATAGAAACCAAAAATTATTACTGGTTATTAGGAATGGGAGGGAAGAAAAGGGGAATCTTTGCTTACAGGGCAGTTAGTTTGTGTTAATGGTGGTAGGATAATTTGGAAAAGGATAGTGAGAATGTTTGTACATCTTGAAGAATATAATCAATGTCACTGAATTGTACATGTAGAAACTTTGAATTGGTATATGTTTTATTGTGTATATTCTCATTGTAATTTAAAACAAATAAACAAACTCGTACTCAGCCTCTATGCTAAGATAGAGCTTGGCTTATTTTTCAAGTTTGGGTGCACAGGCCTTGAGCCCACAGTCCATTTCCTGAAGCAGTAGTAGCACTGATGGGGCAGGAGACATTAACCAGAGTCCTAGGAATGTTCTCTGCCAGTGCTGTGAGAGACAAGCTAGGTAGGCTGTGCTCCTGCCTTTTTGGAGCTCAGATGCTGCTTAGATAGAGACACATGTTCTAGTGCCTTCACTGCAAAGCAGACTCTTCTGAAAGCTATAACAGTGTACAAAGTGCTTTAGTGATAGGTACTGACTGTGGGATACTCAGAAAAGTCACAACAGTTGGGAGGCTGGGGGGGCTGCTGTCAGGGTAGACATATTGGGCAGAGATGGCTATAGGAGCTAAGACCAGTAGGACGGGGCTCGTTTAGGAAATGGTAATGGCCCCAAATAGCTAGAGCCTTGAGTGTGTTAGGAAAGGTGGTTGAGAAGGTAGGCTGAGGGCAAATGATGTTGTTGTTGTTGTTGTTGTTATTTGCCGTCGAGTCGGCCCCGACTCATAGCGACCCCTCCTTGGGTTTCCGAGGCAGTATCACTACGGAAGTAGGATTGCCCAAACTTCCTTCCGAGGAGTGGCTGCTGGGTTTGAACCTCCAGCCTTCTGGTTAGCAGTCAAGTGCCTTAGGCACTATGCTACCAGAGGGCAAATGATGGAAATTCTAAAAAAGATTGGGAAAGATTGGGTTTCACTGCCTGCACACTAGATAATAGTGTGCACACAGAAAAATAGCTGATTACAAACACTGGATGCTTTTCATCTTATAAAGGACTTTCAGTGCATTCTTTTACTCTATGCTCGCAACTGGTAGTATGCAGGATACAGCACAAGCTTAGGATCAGGTGCCTGGGATCCACTCTAGCTGGGTGTTGTTGTTATGTGCCGTCGAGTTGGACCCGACTCATAGCGACCCCTCCTTGGGTTTCCGAGTCAGTATCACTACGGAAGTAGATTGCCCCATCTTCCTTCCAAGGAGTGGCTGGTGGGTTTGAACTGCCAGCCTTCTGGTTAGCAGTCAAGTGCCTTAGCCACTATGCTACCAGAGCTGGGTAGATTTGTACAAATCACTCTGACCCTACTCACTCATAGCAACCCTTTAGGACAGAGGAGAACTGCCAAGAGGGTTTCCAAGACTGTAAATCTTTATGGAAGCAGATTACCACATCTTCCTCCTGCAGAGTGGCTGGCAGGTTCAAACCACTGAGCTTTTTGTTAGCAGTCAAGTGCTTAACCACAGCTCCATCAGGGCTTCTTTCATCTCTGAGAACAGGGTCCAATTCACAGTGCTTTAGGACAGATTACATGAGACTAACCAAAAAACAAACCCACTGCCGTCAAGTCAGGTCTGACTCATAGCAACCCTTCCTTGGGTTTCGAGGTGATATCACTACAGAAGTAGATTGCCCAACCTTCCTTCCGGGGAGTGGCTGGTGGATTTGAACCACCAGCCTCCTGGTTAGCAGTCAGATGCCTTAGGCACTACGCCACCAGAGAGACTGTTGTTGTTGTTAGGTGCCATTGAGTCATTTCCGACTCATAGTGACCCCATGCACAGCAGAAGGAAACATTGCCTGATCCCACGCCAGCTCCACAATCCCTGCTATACTTGAGCCCATCGTCGCAGCCACCATGTCAATCCATCTCATTGAAGGCCTCCCCCTCTTTCTTCAACCCTCCACCCTACCAAGCATGACATCCTTCTACCAGAGAGACTACACATATGAAAATGTGACTTTCAACTCCTGGGCCTCAGTTTGTCCTCTGTAAAATGGGGATAAATTGTTGTTGTTGTTGTTATTTGCCATCGAGTCGGCCCCGACTCCTAGCGACCCCTCCTTGGGTTTCCGAGGCAGTTATCACTACGGAAGTAGGATCGCCCAACCTTCCTTCCGAGGAGTGGCTGGTGGGTTTGAACCGCAAGCCTCCTGGTTAGCAGTCAAGTTCCTTAGGCACTATGCTACCAGAGCTCCTGGGGATAAATTAGGTGGAGCTTAAGTCAGGGAGCTGTAGCTGCAGTTTTGTAAGAGGCCTAATAGCAAAAATATTACTATCAAGGCCACTAAGTATTTATTCACCTTTTGACAGATGAGGCAAGGAAAGTTAGTGCTTCAGTGTTGGTGGGCTGAGAGCCTGAGAAGAGGGGCTCTTCTTACTTTAACAGCATCTCTTAGAACTAGTCACAGTTACTTATTTGGGACAGGGGCGGACATGCCCAGAAAGTGCACAAGACATAGGAAAGGGCAGCAGAGACTACAGCACAGGTGCACTGACGTGCCTGAACGCGGCCCATTTAAAGAGTCAGCGTTATCACGTCCCGCCCCCGACGTCTCAAGGCCACCAATGAGCGAGCGTGTCACTACGTGACGCCATCTTTCCGCGACGAATCTGGGTCCAGTTACTTGGTGTCAGAACTCTGGCGCCGAAGTGATGGGCAGCCAGGAGGTGCTGGGCCAAGCGGCCCGGCTGGCCTCCTCCGGTCTCCTCATGCAGGTATTTCCTACCTGGCTGGCCCCCAACCTGTCCCTTAGTCTGTTCTGCAGATGAATTCGGGGGAAAGGTGGCCCCGGGGCTTTTGACAGCCCGCGCTGGGCTAAACCCCAGCCTGACCTGGACCCCGCTGCGAAAGGGTTGACAGGAGGTGGTGGCAGCGGTGAGGGAGTATCTGGGCCGCGGAGTTGGGAATCTGTGTTCACAGGCTTGGCTGGGAGACTGCAAACAAGCCACTTTCTGAGCATTATCTTTCCCATAAGGCACTAGGAGAGAGTTAGATCAGGTGTCAGGGGAGCATTTTGTGTCCCAGAATCTACTGTTTTTAAGACAAAAGATTAATTTCCTCCATGTTCCAGCCGTGCCCCACAAAACACCATCCTCAAACTTTCTGACTCTACTGAGTTCAACGACCTGGGCTCAGGCAGGCCTGGGTAGGAATCCTAGTTTTACCATGCATTTGCTGCATTTGTGACCCAGGACAAGCAACTTCACCTGCTAGCCCCATTTCCTGATGGGTAAAATGAGTATAATAAGAGTACCTAGTTCATAAAGTTGTTGTGAGGATTGATTGATATAATTCAGATAAATGCATTTAATACTGTTAAAGTGGCTAGCTGCATCTTCCTTCTGGCAGCGTGACCTGGACAAGTCACACCCCCCCGACCTTAATTTTCTTCATCTATCAGAGGATATGATTTATGATATTTGGTCCAAATGGTATCTAAAAACTCAAAGAGTTGGTCATTCTAAATCAAGGGGCTCTATTTCTCTGTGTCCCACGATGAAGCTGGGTCCACTTACTTCGTGTCAGAACTCTGGCGCAGAAGTGATGGGCAGCCAGAAAGCCTCCCAGCTGGCCTCCTCCGGTCTCCTCACCCTTTGAAACCTTCTTTACCATAAGTCCTGAATCCTCCCTCCCCCTTATCTTATAAAGACAGTGTTTCAGATGGAAGTTAGGAGAAAGAACTAGGCAGATTTGGGGTAAAGGTTGAGTCTTATCACTTGCTAAATGCCTGCCCTTTGGAAAATCACTTCTCTCGGTGCTAGTTTCCTCATCTTAAATGAGACCTGTAGTTCAACCTATCGGTCATTAGGAAGAGTAGATGAAATCATGTTGTTCTGTGCTGTCAAGTGGACTCAGTGACCCTTCATGACAGAGTAGAACTACCGCATAGGGTTACCTAGGCTATAATCTTTAGGAAACCAGATTGACAGATCTTTTCTCCTGTGAAGCCACTGGTGGGTTCAAACCACTGACCTTTTGGTTAGCAGCCAAGTGCTTAGTCATTGTGTTGCTTAGACTTCTTCCTTGCACATTACAAAAAACCAAACCCACTGCCATCTAGTTGATTCCAACTCATAGCAACCCCATAGGATTTCCAAAGCTATAAATCTTTACAGAAGCCAACTGCCTCATCTTTCTCCCAAAGAGCGGCTGGTGGGTTTGAACTGCTGACATTTTGGTTAGGAGCTGGATGCCTTAGCCATGGCACCACCAGAGGTCTTTTGGCACATTGTAAGTACTTACAAAATGTTGTTGCTAGTTGCCATCTAGTCGATTCCAACTCATGGTGACCCCATGTGTGCAGAGTAGAACCGTGCTCTATAGAGTTTTCAAGGCTATGACCTATTGGAAGCAGGTAGCCAGGTCGGTCTTCCAAGGCACCTCTGCGTAGGCTCAAACTACCAGCCTTTCTGCTAATATTTGAGTGCTTAACCATTTGTACTACCCAGGGACTTAATAAATATTGTTGTTGTTGTTGTTATGTGCCGTTGAGTCAAGCCCGACTCATAGCGACCCCTCCTTGGGTTTCCGAGGCAGTATCACTACGGAAGTAGGATTGCTCAACCTTCCTTCCGAGGAGTGGCTGGTGGGTTTGAAAATATTAGCTGTTTTTATTTGGGTAATAATGATTTTTTCAGTAGTCAGTGTAGGGATGAAATAAGATAATCCATGTAAAGCATGTAGAAGAGTACCTAGGATTTGTAATTGCTTAACTGTTGTTAGCTGCCATCAGGTCGACTCCAACTCACGCAAGACTCATGGCAACCTTATGTACATCAGAATGAAATGTTGCCTGGTCCTGTGTCATCCTCAATTGCCAGGGTATTTGAGTCCATCATATTAAATTTATGCCAGTCCACCTCATTGATGGTCTCCCATGCTCTTGTTGCTCTCCTACTTCACCAAACGTGAAGTCCTCCTCTACTAATTGATCCCTTATGACATGTCCAAAGAAAGCAAGTCAGATAACATTCTGTTGTGATTCATAAGGTTTTCATTGACTAATTTTTGGAAAGGAGCTCTGGTAGTGTAGTGGCTAAGGCACTTGACTGGTATCCAGAAGGCTGGCAGTTCAAACCCACCAGCCAGCCACTCCTCGGAAGGAAGATGGGGCAATCTACTTCGTGATACTGCCTCGGAAACCCAAGGGGTCGCTATGAGTCGGGTCCGACTCAATGGCACATAACAACAACAACAATTTTTGGAAGTAGACTACCAGGTCTTTGTTCCAGTCTGCCTTAGACTGGAAGCTCTGCCGAAACCTGTCCACCATGAGTGAAATACTGATGGCATAGCTTCCAGCATCACAAAGTACAAGCCGCTACGTACAACCAAGTGACAGGCAGGTGGTAGAAGTGCTTAATTAAGAGTACTTAGTAATGTTATCCTTTCTTCTCATAATGTATATTTACATATAACCCTAAGTTTACCTAGTTTTTTTTTTTTTCCTTCTATTTCATATCAAGTAATTGAGTTCAGTGCTTTATCCATGATGTTGATGTTCAACATTTGATGATACCTTGCTACTCAGATTGGTTTCATGAAAGGAAAATAAGCTGTAATAGCACATTAAGGAGCTCTGGTGATGCAGTGCCTGAGGCGTTTGACTGCTAACCAGAAGGTTGGCAGTTCAAACCCACCAGCCACTCTGTGGTAGGAGAAGGGGGCAATCTACTTCTGTAAAGATTTACTGCCTCAGAAACCCAGTGGGGGTTACTATGAGTTGGAATTGACTCAATGGCAGTGGTTTTTTTTTTTTTTTTTTTTCCCCATGGTATAGTGGTTAAGCCATTTGGCTGCTAACCAAAGGTTGGTGGTTCGAACCCACCAGCTGCTCCATGGAAGGACAATGGAGCAGTCTGCAGTCTGCTTCTGTAAACATTTACAGCCTTGGAAACCCAGTGGGGGTTACTATGAGTTGGAATTGACTCAATAGCAGTGAGTTTGTATTTTTGGAGAAAGCATATTAGACTACAAATCAGGTGGCCTATCTGCAAGATAAATAATCAACAGATGTGAAAGAGCATTTTTTCAAAGCTAAAGTCCTTTACAAACATAAATGAAGATTGTGTTGCTTATAAGTTCCTCTGTGTGGAACAAATACTAGGTAGCATGAGTGACCTCAGAGTTGAATTAGCTCAAACCTTTATTCAAACCAATTAGGAGATATGGATATAGTCTAGAACATTGTTTCTAAGACAATATTAACCATAATCTTTAGGTTTCTTGTGTGCTTTTATTCAGCTCCGCATGCCTTTTTTTTTTTTCTTTTCATTGTGCTTTGGGTGCAAATTTACAAAGCAAATTTGTTTTACATTCAACAGTTCGTTCACATTTGATTTCACAGCCTGATTACCATCCCCAACCATAAAAAACTCTCCTCCCCTCCCCTCCTTGTTGCTTTTCCCTCCCTGTGCCCTCCTTATCTATGCATTCCTGTCTGTCCAGTTTTCCCTCTATGTGAGTGCTACCTGTCTGGTGTCTCATGGCTGATTTCTCTAAGGGATCCATCTCCCTAGAGTAGGTGGGTGCATTGCCTTGGGGTCGGTGTTCTGCATGTAGGTCTTTCTACTATTGGGCTGAGAGCAATCCACAGAAGTGAATCTATCTCTAGGCCTGAAAGGTAACCCAGAGCTGTAGTCTCAGGGGTTCCACCAGTCTCTATCCAACAAGTAATTCTGGTCATTTTTGTGTTTTTGAATTTTGTTCTGCATTTCCCGCCCCCACTGTATCCAGGATCTCCAGTTCTGATCACTTTATGAATGGTTGGCACTGGTAGCCGGACACCATCTAGTTCTTCTGGTCTCAGGGTCATGAAGGCTGAGGCCTTGTGGTCCAACTTATCTTAGGACTAATTGTTTCCAGATGACTCTGATTTTCTTCACTCTTCTTTGCTTCAGACCAGAGGAGGCCAATAGTTGCATCTCAGATGGCTGCTCAAAAGCTTTTAAGACCCCAGTCACTACTCACCAAAGTAGGTTGTAGAACAAGATTTTTATGTACTATGTTGTGCCAATTGAGCATGATGACTCCTGAGACTATGTCTCAAGTCCACAGGTCCAGTGATTCTTTCTCTCAATGTGTTTGGTTGTCTCTGAGAAGTTATTCCAACCTCAGCTCCACATGCTGTTGAAATTACAATACAGACCCTTGAGGTAGCTTTGCAATTACATTTTATTCTGCAATAGTTTCAGAGCTTATTCTCTGTCTTAACCCTTCTGTGAACCATGGGATATATATTGCTCACTAATATTTTCAACCACAGGTTTCTTGGGATGCTCTTATCCCAGTTGCAGTATGTGCTACTGCCTGGTGGCGACCTGTATAACTATGTGAATCTGAAGAAACAAGCCTCACCTTACCAATCTACTACCAGAGTCCACTTGGGACATATGTTTTGTACATAATTATATAAAAATCCATATTAAATTTTAAAAAATGTTTTCCCCTTGTTTTCAGCAGCCTTTCATTACTGAAAGCACAAGGTATCAGCAAAAAATTTAAAGCAGAAAATAATTCAGTTGTGAAAGGGTTAACTGAGCCACGGTAAAACTATGAATGCCTTTCATTTGTATGTATTTTAAAAAAAGATGCTTTCAGCTCTGCAGTCTCATTTGATCCTTGTTACTGACCCTGGGAGATAAGTAGCCTCATTTGCTAGAGGAGGAAATTGAGATTTACAAATATTAAAGATGATGTAATGAATTACAGCTAAAGGGTGAGTCAAGACTCTCAACTGACTGGTTTTTTCACTAAGGGCTCTATGAATTGACTCTAAATTGAGTCCAGAATTTGGTGTGATACGTGAATATGAGTGCATGTTTCTAAGGAGAGGCTAGAGAGTTTTCATGGGACTCTCAAAAAGTCACCTTGGCTCTAAAAAGGGTAAGACTGATATTTTAGCTTTGGAGACTTTACCACCAGGTGATACTTCAGAGATAGTGCTATGCTCCCTCCCTTCTTGGACTATAGTGGCTCCTTGGCATACTTTGAATTTTCCAGATTGTAGCTATTCACAGTAACCCCAAGACTGCTTGACATGGAGTGATTTGTCATTTCCTCCGGTGGGTGCTTGAATTACACCTGTGGTGCTGCTGGGATGCACAGGGGAGAGTCCCTTAGTGAGTGAGGCTCGCACACAGCCAGCAGCCCCATTTAGCAGCCCAACTAATTGCAACCCTGTTATTGTCTAGGTCTCATGGGAACAATTCTTTGCTCCAATGATTTTCTTGAATTTACAGGTTTTTAAAGACTCGAGGTATGTGCCCTGCAAATGGCAATAGATAGACTCCCCTTTTTCGTTCATATTTTATTAATCTTATTATTGCACTTATCATTTAAAAGGTATTTCAGCTCCTCTCAGGAAATTGGCAAATAAATAAATAAGCACAGCTTTTTTCTGCATTCTAAGTGAGAAAACCAAAGTTCAAAGACATTACATCTCATTATTGTAATCCCTGAATATTACCAGGCAGAGAAGAAAGGGGAATTAGACCCCATGATTCCTAGTGAATCCGCTATACTCTGCAGGCTCCCACTTGCTAAGTGTGTGCTGTTACTAAACAGGATAAAGGTTTTCAGCTAAAGGAAGGGGTAATGTGAAGCACTAACTGAAATTAATTTTCTTTCTGTCTTCTGGAATACCTGCCTTTGCACCTGAAGAAATTCACTGGCTCTTTCAGGGCCTCCCTCTTCTCATCAGTAGATTTCAGACTTCCAAGTGCCTTCTTGGATTCTTTAACCACTGTACAGGAGTCCTGGGAGGCTCCAAGGAATGAAATTTCAGAAGAAATGCAGGCAGGCTGAGTGTTTTAGAAAGAGCCACCATAGCCATTATATCACGTTAGGGAAAGCAACCACATTGCTCTCATCTCAACAAAGTCAACGTTTCAGCAGAACTTATACATTCTTGTTGTTCTTCTGTAGGTGTTGTTTCGATTGATCACCTTTGTCTTGAATGCATTTATTCTTCGTTTCTTGTCCAAGGAAATTGTTGGCGTAGTGAATGTAAGGTAAGAAGGGTATATCCTGGCCCTGTCCACAGCTTATAGCCCTAGTCAGGTTTTCTTCAAACTCTGCACCTGTCACCCTCGGGTTTTAGAAGCACGCACTTTTACCAGAATGGAGTGTTTCAACAGTGGGCTGAGGAGGAGCCTGCTGGGGTGGGGAGATGACTGGATGATACTGCTTTTAATGGACCCATAGTGTGTTTTCCATTAGCAGCCTCCAACTACACATTTCTCTGCCAGCTGTTCCAGTTTGCCTGCTCTTAGAACTCAGGAGATGAGTGGGAGGAATTCATTGCAAACCCTGTCTCAGGTATAATCCTGTGTTCTTATCCTGCTGTCAGCAAAGGAGGCAGCAGTTCTCTAGTTTGTGAGGATGTGCTGCATAATTGCAGGGCAGAAGCAGCCACTTTCCCTCCCTCCTTAGTGATTTCGTGATTGAGATACAAGAACCAGGATGAGAGCTGGAGTTTTTGTTGTTAGTTCCTTGGTGACTCCTGGAAAGCTGATTTGCTTTGTCCTTTAGACTCAGCTTGTCTCTTCTACTCTCCTCCTTCCTGTTCAACAACACCTACACACATTTTGTATTCATAAATGACACAAAAGTATATGAAATGAGGTGGGTTCTTGGAATAGCTCAAACTTCTCAGGTGTGTCTTCATTTCCTGATAAACAAGACAGTATGTTCCAGATAGATTTCACATCTGATTTTCACTTACCAAACATATACTGTTGGTTCTGATCTCAGTGGCAGTTCTCAAACTTAGGTGGGCAGAGGAATCATATGGGGTGCTTTGCACTAGGTAGGGCTGAGGAGAGGTCTGGGAGTCTGCATTTTGACAAGCTCCTCAGGTACTTTTGAATCAGGAACAATATTTTGAGAAATTGTGTTTTAAAAGCAGGAGAGAAGAGACTCAAATCCTCCTAGGGACTCAGAGTTTAAAGCAATTTGGCTCACTATGCAGCCTTTCATGGAGTGCTGGTCTTTGCTTTGACAGCCTTACCTGGCATACCCTCGTCTCCTTAAGATCTCCTTATTCTCAGTGTTGGACAGAAGCACTGTGCAGCAGGATGACCTTGGGTAACCACAGAGACCTTAGCCCTGGGCAATTCTTACCTGGGGTTGAGGCAGGGAAACCTTAGCTACTCCTTGCTAAGGTACAGGAAGGTCCATGTAGCTGCTGCCCACCTAGGAGGTACCCAGACAAGCCTTGCCTATCTGGGTTGCAGCCTCTGGAATGGTTGCCAGCCTTAATGCCTCTCCTAAGATTCTCTTGGCCAGAGCCTCCACTTGGTAGACTCAGCTCTCACAGGGGTCATTGGGTCACCATTACTAGTGTGACCAAAAGCTCCCCCTGATGTGTGGGGCCATTGTTTTGTCCTGCTCTCCTCATCAGAGCCACCTCTGCCTAAAGCTATGAAACTTGAAGGTTTTTTGGGGGCCACTGCTCTTGTTTCCTAGGTATCACTTGCTATAGGCACACACACTCAGTTGTCCCTTGTTTGGTTCCTAACTTTGTTGTTCACCTGAATTCGACTGGTGGAGAGCCCTGTAAGAGTCCATTGCTCTCCATAACACCAACAGTGAATTGTAACCAAGATTTTTTCCTCTTGCTGATGCTGGCAAAATCCCAGAAGTTCCTTTAAGGAAAAAGCTAGAGGCAATATTGATTTGTGCGTTTCCTTTTCAGGCTAATGCTGCTTTACTCAACCACCATCTTCCTGGCCAGAGAGGCCTTCCGCAGAGCATGTCTGAGTGGGGGCGCCCAGCGAGACTGGAGCCAGACCCTCAACCTCCTGTGGCTCACGTGAGTTATGTTCCAGTGGCAGAGAGTTTCATAAAGGCACGTGTAAGTTTAACAGCAATACTTGCCACTAGCTGAGTTGTCCCCAGATTCAGTTTATCAATGGGTTTCTGGAGGGAAAGGAAAAAAAATTCCCAGGACAAGAAGGGGAGAATGTTTTTGTTGAAGGAGCTTCTTGGCTTGTTTTCTCTCTGGATGGTCAGGAGCAGAGAAGAGGCTCCAGGCTTGGGGTTTCTGAATCAGGTTTCTAACCCTGTTTTAACCTTTTTGGAGGTTGCGTCTGCTATTCCTCATCCTGACTCTGGGCCCTGCTTGGCCAGTTCCATGTTTTTTATTCTTCAGCTTTTCTGCCTATGGTATCTTTTGAGCTTTTCACAACCACTTAGTCTTAGCATTTTCTGAAAGCCTTTTAGGGGGTTCACTGATATCTTTCTTTACTTTTGTTAGGTTGATTTCAGTTCTGAGCCTTTTAGAACTTTCTTGGAGACCACAAACCTCAACTGAAAACCATAATGGATCTTCTTTTAGATCCCTATGGGATGGCTGGTAGCTGAGGTTGCTTCCCAATGTTGCCCTTGCATAAGCCCTTGTTCCCTCATGGCAATGGCTGTTCTAAGGGATGGTGGGTGTTTGTTTATTAGAAGAATGACTGTCACTACCCAGTCCTGTTTCACTGCTTTATGAAGTACGTGTGAAAGGATACCGTGCACTGGACTGTTGATTATTTTGGGTGCAAGACCAGACATATGCTATCTGTCAGTCATTCTAAACATAGGCACCAGGCATTTTTCCCTAGAGTTTTGCTTATTGAGTCAGTATAACTGAGTAGATAGAAATACAGGCTTTTCAGTTGGACACATTGGGCTTGAGTCCTGTTTATGCCTTTGAGGAGCTGTTCATGACCCTGGCTAATTAGCAGTGCCTGCCAACCTCCATTTCCTCATCTGTCAATTGAAGACAATGACAGAAGATCATTGTGAGGTGTCAGTGAGATAAAGAGAGTAAATCATAGTGCTTAGTACGCAGTAATTGCCTTAATAAGTGGTAGCTATTTTTATTATAGCTATATTTCTTTTCTGTTCAATGTTATTATTCTCACGTGTATTTATATTTATTATTTAATTTAGCAGAATGAAAAACATTTTTTTTTTCCTTCTTCCAGAGTCCCTCTGGGTGTGTTTTGGTCTTTGTTCCTGGGCTGGGTCTGGTTACAGTTGCTGGAAGTGCCTGATCCTAATGTTGTCCCCCACTATGGAACTGGAGTGGTGCTGTTTGGCCTTGCAGCAGTGGTGGAACTTTTGGGAGAGCCCTTCTGGGTCTTGGCTCAAGCACATATGTTTGTGAAGCTCAAGGTCTGTGTGCTTTCTATTGTGGAGGGGGAATGTGGAGAATAAGGAAATTGTTTTTAAATTTTATACAAGAAAATGATTTCTGCAGACTTGCATCTAAAAAAAATATTTGAAAAAGGTAACGTGACCAGTTAAGTTCGTTCACTTACATTTGTCAGATGGGCTGGGCCAGGCTGAAGTTTACCTCTACTATACCGTTAATGATGAGAGCTCTGGTGGCATAGTACCTAAGGCACTTGACTGCTAACCAGAAAGCTGGCAGTTCAAACCCAGCAGCCACTGCTTGGAAGGAAGATGGGGCAATCTACTTCCGTAGAGATACCGCCTCAGAAACCCGAGGAGGGGTCTCTATGAGTTGGGTCCGGCTTAACGGCATATAACAACAACAACATACTGTTAATTAAAAGCAGCCTTGCTAATAAGGAAGTAATTAGTTGAAATACAAATTTAGGAAGACTATAAACTTTTTTCAGATTTTTGTAGAGATCCTGTTTAGTTGCATACTAATAATAACTTTTCACTTAAAAGAAATTAATATAACCTTTTAAAATACATTATTTAATATTTACAAGGAAAATATGTCTTATACTAGTGCTGCTATAACAGAAACATCACAAGTGAGTGGCTTTAACAGAAGGAAATTTATTTTCTCAGTTGTCATATGCTGTTGAGTCAATTCCATCTCATAGTGACCCTATAGGACAAAGGAGAACTGCCTCATAGGGTTTCCTAAGCAGACAGACATCTTTATAGGAGCAAATTGCCAGGTCTTTTCTCCCATGGAGCAGCTGTTAGATTTGAACTACCAACCTAGCAGCTGAATGCTCAACCATTGTGCCTCCAGGGGCTCTTTTCTCACAGTTAGGAGGCTGGGAGTCTAGATTCAGGTACCAGCTCTAGGGTACGGCTTTCTCTCTCTATTGGCTCTGGAGGAAGGTCCTTGTCTCTTTTTAGCTTCTGTCCCTCAGTTCCTTGGCAGTCTCCACGTGGCACCCATCTTCCCTAGTTTGTCCTTTGTGTCTATGCCTAAACTATTCCTTTTATGTCTCAAAAATGATTGGCTTAAGACATACCTGACACTGATAATAAGCCTTATTATCATAACAAAGAAAATCCTGTTCCCAAATGAAATTATACCCACATGCATAAACAAAAAACAAGACCCAAACCCAGTGTCATTGAGTCAGTTCCAACTCATAGTGACCATTGGGTTTCCAAGGCAGTAAATCTTTACGAATTGATGTAAATTAGTAGATTGATGCGTCTTCCTTCTGCAGAGCAGCTGGTGGGTTTGAACCACCAAACTTCTGGTTAGCAGTCAAATGCCTTAGGCACTGCACCATCAGAGGTCCTTATCCACCTGTATAGGGGTTAGGATTTATAACACAATTTTGCAAGGATACAATTCAATTCACAACAATATAAGTAACACGTGTAAATCTTAACGTATGATAGTATACAGAAGATTCATTAACCTACCACCCAACCTAAGAAGAGAACATTTCCATATGCCCCACCCTTATCCTCAGGGTAAGGAGCTCTGGTGTATTTGGCTATTAAATAAAAGGTTTGTGGTTCAAACCCAGGAGCTGCACCATGGGAAAAAGATGAGGCAATCTGCTTCCATAAAGATTACAGTCTTGAAAACCATGTGGAGCAGTTCTGCTCTTCCCTGTAGGGTTGCTGTGAGTCAGAATCAACTCAGTGACAGTGGGTTTTTATCCCCAAGGTAGCCTAGTATACTGAAATTTCTGTTTAAAATTTAATTTCATATTTGTTGTATTTTTTATTTTTTAATAGTGTTTGTAAAGTGAACTCTTCCCTATGTCTTTGTAGGTGATTGCTGAGAGCCTGTCAGTAATCCTCAAGAGTGTCCTAACAGCCTCTCTTGTGCTGTGCTTGCCTCACTGGGGGCTGTACATTTTCTCTTTGGCCCAGGTGAGAGTCATGGCTTCAATTTTTTATATAAAGTCTGTTTTTCCATCAGGTGTTTCCTTTTTGTTCCCGTACTTCGTGATTTACCGTCATAGTTTTCATGCATGTGGGGAAGGCTGAAAGTGCTGGAAGGCTGGCCTGAGACTCCTGCTTCTCTGGCTGTCACTTCCATCCTAATCTAAACACTGATACCCTGGAGTTCACAGGACCTGGTGAGGACCACACACTTGGCCTCTTTTGTCAAACATCAAAACTCCTCTTGGAACTCTTTGGGCAAGCCCTTATCAAGCTGATCTTTGATTGTTTGACAGACTTGTGGAGGAGAAAAAAGGCAGTAAGGGGGTGGAGTGGGAATCATGTGGCATTTTCCCTGAATTTCAATCAATTGTTTGCAGAATAGGAGGAAATTTTGCCAAGCCTGTTTTAAACTTAAACTGTAAACTCACAGAATTCAGAAGGCATAAATCAAATCATAGCAGGTACATTTTCAATTTTAGCTTCATTTCCATCTCATCATTTTCTAGTTCTAGTCAAATAATAATAATATAATTATAGTACAAGTGCTATTTTAAAGAATGAAACCTAAGATCAGATAGTTACTAGAACATCTTACAGTACAAAGAAGTTTATAATTTGTATTAATGTGTAGGGAGACAAATTAAGATTCTTACAGGGAGTCTGATGATGTAGTGGTTAAAGGCATTTGGCTGCTAACCATGAGGTTGGTGATTTGAACCCACCAGTTGCTCTGAAGAAGAAAGATGAGGCAATCTGCTTCTATAAAGATTTACAGCCTTGGAAACCCAACAAGAGTCATTATGAGTTGGAATCAACTTGATGGCCGTGTGTTTGGTTTGGTTTTGGTTTATAGGGATTTATATGCAATTCTTTCCCATGTCATAGGCAAACAATAGAAATACTTATGTGAAACAGAAGAACTAGATTAAAAATTAATAAAATAAGAATGAGAACTGCCTTCTAAAAGTAGCTTGCAAACACAGTCGTATGTTTTAGAGAAGTTATCTGTGATTGCTTTTGCCACATTTTACAAGAGCTGGAACTGCAGTTCTCAGCATTGGAAATTGTTTCTGATGCTCTCTCCCCAATAGGATAGGTGGGTTGTGGAGTCTTCTAGTTATTGATCAACCCTTCTTGGGAAAGGCACTTGATTATGACTTTCTGATCATCCTCACTCCCACCCAGGCTATGTAGTGATTTTATTTGCACCCTTGTCGTAAGATTTCTGAGATTCTCTGGTACATTCTCTGTCATTGTCCATGTGTGAGGTCAGAGAAGCAACAACCTCGGAGCAGCACCTCCTGGGATTCCCCTTTGCCATATGCCTCCAGGCTCATCCTTAAACTGACCTTTTGCTCCTACTCAAACCGTGGTACCATATGTCACTTAAAAGTGTCAATGCAGAATATATAAAGAACTCTTAAAACCCAATAACAAAAAGACAACCCAATGATCAAATGGGCAAAGAACTTGAAAAAAAACATTTCTTCAGAGAAGATATACCAGTGGCCAATAAGCACAAGAAAAGATGCTGAGCATCATTAGTCGTTGTTGTTGTTGTTATGTGCCATCGAGTCGGCCCCGACTCACAGCGACCCCTCCTTGGGTTTCCGAGGCAGTATCACTACGGAAGTAGGATTGCCCAACCTTCCTTCCGAGGAGTGTCTGGTGGGTTTGA